CATTCTCATGCCGACAGTCTGCCTTCCTGAGTGACATTCATTCCATCTGTGTTATAGCCAGAATGCTTGTTTGACTCCTGGCCATTATGATGCTTATCTACCTGACGTTGCACGCCATGCATACTTCTAAATCTGGGTGTTTACATATTACTGAGTTTCTGTATGAATTCCTCAATGCACATTCTTTGGTAAATCGCAGACCGACAGTAATCTATACATTTCTATTTAAAAAATGAGGATTTGGTTACTTTCCTTTGAGTAGCTTGATAGTGTGCGCCCCCCCCACCCCACCCCTGTTGTAAAATCTGCATATAAGGGTTCAGTAGGCAGTCCAAGGAGGTGTGACTCAGACTGGCCTACTGCGTGCCGGTTTAGAGAGAGCGAACGACTGGCAGCCAGGCTATTATTCTTAAACAAACAATGTCACACGAACTCACTGAGGAGAATTGTCTGTTTGCATCTTTCCCTGTCTGTCCGCATGTCTGAGTCATATTCTTCAGTTATTAAAAATGTGTTTTGTTTTTGTCTTTCGGTTTCAAAGAAATACAAATTGAGTTAATCTTCTTCAGAAGCACATAAATATCTGAGTTAGTGCTTTTCAAAATCCTCACCTCATAACCTCTCTTTAAAATTTCTTGGTATCGGGTTTGTTCATGATGAGACTATGACTGGAATCCGATGAAGCCAGGTTTCCTCCACCTGCCACATCTACCCTGCAGGGGTTCAAAGTGTCCATTAGCTTCTCGAGAGCCCAAGGCTAGTTTGATGGTTATCGGTAAATTTGAGCAGTTCAGAGAATGTATATCAGCCTTTTCAGACATGGGGAGAACCTGCAAGCTTGCATCTGTTTGGAGCAAAACATTGCTTTACCCACAAACATCAATAAAAGACACAATTGCGAATAGAAGGGATACATACTTCAAAAAATGTCTAAAGAAAATTTAAATCTGGAAAGTGGGGGACGTGTTTACATTCATCCTCCTCTATCCTGACACCCTTAAATAAAGCCACTTCGGTTTTTAATATAACCTCTTCATAGATGTTCTCTGAAATTGCTCTCTAATGTTGGAGAACATTATTAAAGAATCTTTGTGAAGATCCAGGAAAATGGCAGACGAGTCAGGAGGAACGTTGTGCCGAACTGTGCAGAAGTGTAGGCTTTTCAAACTACACTCAAACCTCTGAACAGCTCACAAAAGACATTTTTGTAAAAAGAAATACATATAAAGTCATTTTTTTCCCATTCTGGAGACTCTCCAATCATGATGAATAAGGTACTCTAGTCTGGACAGATGAGACTAAAATTAGAACAGCTCAAAGCCCAGACCTAAATCCAATTGAAGGACTTAAAGGACTTGAATATTTCAGTTAATAGAATACAATTTGACTAAAAAGTTGTTTTTATAAGAAGAGTTTTAGTCAAGAGGTCCAGAGCTGGTAGAGCTATCATACAGCCGTGCTCTGTGAGCCTTTTATTTCAAAAACATTCATAATTTTTTTAACCTTTTACAATCTTTCTCCACTTTGTCTTAGTTTGTCCAAAAAAATCCCAAATAAATATGCTGCTCAGCATGATGCAAGAAAATTAAATAAACAGACATTTTTGTGGATATTTAAGCAAGATTTTTAGTTTTTCAGATTTGGAGCAACTTCTCAAGTTTTTACAAACAAGCTTTGAAAATAGTTGATATTTAAGTTAAGACCTTTAGGGATTTGGATTTGTCAGCTGGTGTTCTAACGCCTTTAAATTGCCAATGACAAAAACATTAAATATGCTTAGTTAAACTACTGGTAGGTGTTTTACCTACTCCAGGATGGTTTTCCGGCTCAAAATATCCACTGTTCTAGATTTTTGTTATCCTGTCCCCCTTTAAGAAAGGAGAAAATAAACTAGACATGTGCAATACACACAGGATAAATGTGAACTAGAGATCATTGCTGCTGATTACAGTGTCACAAAGGAATCTATTGTGAAACTGTTGCCTGCCTTGGTGCTGCTCCTGCACTGGGGGAGGTTGGCTTGAAAAGGCAGCAGTCAGGCGGTACAGAGTTTCCTTCCCACTCAATACCCAGACAAACATCTTTTCCGTATTTTAAGGGACACTGTGGGTCAGATTCGAAGCCAAACCTTTCGAATTTGTTTATGAATCAAAAAATGCTCCTCCCCGATAGTAAATCCAAATAATACCTAACAATTTAAGAGATGGTTTATAATCATATTCGCCTGCAGATGGGATCCTCAGCAGCTCTGAACTTATTTTACTAATCAAGCACAAAGAAGAAAAGGTACTAACACTAATTTTAATGCATAAAGACAGCATTTTCAAATAATCTATCACTGTATTTTAGGTAGACGAATAATGAATATCTTCAATTAAAGGCAGAAGGAAAGTACAAAACACAGGGACACTTTGTGTGGTTCATGACCCAGATCTGTCCCCCAAGTACATATGACATATTTATTGTACTTTCTAACAGATTATACAAAGGATTGCTTTGTTGGGAATCACATAGTAGCTTTTGTCGACAGAAGGAGCAGTTTGTTTGCTCTAAATCAACACATCTCTTTATGCATCTCTTTAGGTTATCGAAGCAGATTCCTGAGTTAAAAACACAAAGCAGCATGTACTCTGAAGTGTTTGCTCACACACGTGTGATCAGGCTCTGTTCTCTGATGTCAAAGGGTTGTGGTAGAGTCATCGTATGGAACTATCTTGGAACACCCTTATTTGCTCTTAAATGTTTGCCTCCAGGTTAAGATAGTAACTTCATTAACTCATTAATTAGACCCTAGTTCTCCCGGAGTGGGACGGCTTTGATTAAAAAAAACAACCTGTAACTCTGCCATATTGTCTCACTTTTCAATATGTTGTGAAATTGCTGCAGATGCATGCAGAAATACAGGCGTGCATCTGGTAAAAGATGAGTAAAAGATGTGCGGGGTTGTCGACACGTGCTGTAATTCACTGCTCGCTTTTGATGATAAACCAACAAAGGCAGAATATGGCTGAGTGTTGAAACCGAGGCATTTGCTATTTGGAAATAATTTACAGCAAGATGAAGAATAAGTATGTGGAATGTGAGGGTTTAAAGCAAGAAATCAATATGTCGCTCCTCCGTCCTCTTCCTTTTTTTCCTGCGAGTGACAGGTATTACACAGGAGGAGGTGGGGGACGATGAGGAGCTAAAGAGGCAATAAGCAAGAGCAGTGATGTGCATCCAGAGGCTGAGGGAGACTGTGGTCATGTGGATTTGTCTTTACAAGCCCACACAGTCCCTGTCACAGCTCATTGGCGGTGGGAACAGTACCGAGGCAGGGCGGAGGGTGAAAGGTCAGGAAAAGGTTTGTATGGTGAACAGAGCGTTAGTCTGGTACTGACATCCAATTACTGGGACCATCCAATGTGATTGAAAAACACACTTCAAATACCAACTTCCAGGTGGATGCGTCATTAATGTTGATTAAATTAAAAGTAAGCTTGAACCCTGTAATCACTTCTGAATTAATTAATTCACCAGTAATGTTTTTTGGTTAAAGCTTAAAGGTATAGAGTACAATCTTTTATTTCCGGGGGGATCATCTAAATAAGTGGCCCTCCTAATTGCCAATTATTCTGGTGATGGGTTTATGTTAGGCTGTCCTACGTGCTCATCCCGTTAGCTATCTTTTTCTGCACATGCGCACTTTCAGGCGTATATATATGTGGTGAGCTACGGTTTCAGACAGTCATTGAAGCTCACCTTTCTCACTGTGGGTATTTCAAAATGGCAGAGGGTCATAAGAAAAAAAAAGTGTCTACAAACTATTAGAAGAAAAAGAAAGGCCTCAGAAGAGGCAGATCCAGGCACCGCATGGTTGAGGAGGAGTTACGTGACCAACGGGGAGCAAAAAGCAGTGATCTGTCCGAACGATCAGTTAACTGAGTTCACTATGAAGTCCACTATATAGTTCCCGCTCTATATAATGATTGAGGGATTTATGGGTTGGGGCGGAAGTTTAGACACATTAAGCTTGTAAGAGTTATAAGAACAGCAACTTTTAAAACAGAGCATGCATGAGGAGAAATGGGCTCCTGCATGCCCTTGCACTAGTTTAATAGGCGTTCCCTCTCAGGAGCGGGTACAGGGTTGTGAATGTGCTATTTTTTTAAGTGAAAAAAGCAGGTCTTTTTAAAAAAATCACGAAAATCTTCCACTATACCTTTAAAGGTGTTTTAACCACACGCACAAACTAAACTTTGCTGTTGATGAGATAAATCATGCTCCAAACTTTTTATTAGTTTCATCAGACCACATTATTTCATACCATTATAGTTTGGTCATAGGTACTGGATTTTATTGGTAAGAAATTAGGTCATCTGACTTTGGGGCGTTTCTTAATGACTATTAGTCACTGTGTACCTAATAAATAGTGGCTGTATTAAACATTAAACTGATCCTTATCAGGGTCTTTATCCATCATGTTGGTGTATAAATTTATATTCATAACTTTATCAACAACTAATGATAAACACAATTTAATGGCTTAAATACATGAGTATGAAATAGTGAAACTAGAAGCAGGAATGGATATATTGTCAGTGTTTAGAGGTAATGAAGCTTTGTCTGCAACGATTGATAAAAGTCGTGAAAGAAACAAAAGGCCAGAAGTTTCCTACACGGCCCCCTTGAGTCACTGAAAAACTGTGTGCTTGGTAAGAGAGCTGCTCTTGTTCTCCTGCCAGTCTTTGTTAACAGCCTCAGAGTGAAAGGCCTCTGGAGGAAGCAGGGTGTTAAAGTTAACACACCAAAGACCACCGACAGCGTCTTGTTGGGATTGAAATATTCAAAGCACCCTATTAATATTACTGCGTCCAAAATGTTACTAAGCTTCTTCTTTTTTTGTTTTTTGTAATAACATACAAAGTGTTTCTGTTCTTAAGCCTGTATTTGCATTACAGCAGCTGGCTCCCTCTTATTTAAATGGACACTTTTATAGTAAAGCTGCCAGACTGACTTACCCAGTCACGATGCTTCCTCCTCTATCTCTGCTCCCCTCCTTTTTTTCTTCAGTTAATTAATTTTTTTTCCACCTGGAAAACAATAGGATATGTTAATCAAATCACCTTTAGCGTGTTTAACCTGCTCTATTTAGCTGGAACCCAGCTAATCTGCCATGCACTGTGTATACCCTAGAAGTGTAACAGGAAGTTTTTGTTTTTTGTCTGTTAATTGGTTAGATTCCAGCTGTGTGCAGGAGCATGCTAAGCCGGCCAGCCGGCTGTGTAGCAACACAACAGAATGACGGAGCGCGGGGAGAGTGGCAAGAATGCAGGCCGACCGCCCGCCTCTCCACTCTGTCAGCTCCTTGTCTTAGCTTCCTCAACCCATTATCTGTACGTGTTACTCAAACTCCATGCCCTCATACAGTGTGCCCCGTTGAGTTTTTTTTTTTTTAGCAAAGTAGTAAAACAAGTTTTAACTGCCAATTTCACTGTGATTTACATCTATTTTCTTTTTTTTTTTCAGGTATGTTAATTTGCCTTTAAAAATTTTCATCTACTCTTCCAATAGAGTGCAGCCAGATAGGTGATGTTTATAGTGATTTTACTGTATTTGTGATGGTCATTATAAACATCAAGTGCAATGACACGCTGAGTTACTTTTTTTTTTTTATTAAAAAGCTACAAACTTGAATTCAATCTTTAAACACTGAGCATATCAACTTGCATGACTTCCTTCATTGTGTTTACATGTGAAACTGACCTGTTCCGTGACAAGTCTGCTTTGATACACTCTGCTTTACATCTTTATCCTAGAACAGTAGTGTTTTACAGCCCTACACAGACTTTTAGGCTTTTATGCATACTTTTTGCATACATATGTCTGCACCGGTAAAGGCATCGATGCACGCTTATGTGAGTAAATAATTTGTACGAGTAGCTGCTAAATCAGAAGAGCCGTGTGCACTGACCCTGCCGTTGTTAGATCTTTGAGGTGACTGCCTCTCACACAATTCCTTGACTGAAAGGTAAATATTTAGCTTTCAAAGTGGAACTCAAGGCCAGGAAAGGTGCAGTCCTTCTTTCTGATCAGGCCTCTGAAACAGCTGTAACACTGTTTTCACTGATAGCTGCATGCAGCCGAAGCAGCCCAGGATCAAGATCAACTAATCATAAACACAGTTGTTTGTTTTGCTTAAGACGTTTGAAGTTGTGAGGCTTCTTTCCACTCGACTTCCCACCAGGCACAAGTCGCAACTTGTGGCGCTTTCTTGCCGACTGCAGCGTTAAGTGACAGGGACTCTGTCCGGTCTATGCTGCCGTTCAGATACAGGCACAGATTCCCGCTTTCTGCCTGCATCCAGCCCTCTAACTCTGAGGGTGGCACCACATAGCAGTGCTATCTGTGTCACCCTGGATGTGACTGAAATAGATGTTACGAAAAAAGTGAGGCAGAGAACAAAAAGGTCGGCCGCTTGGGGGAAAGAAAGCAGCTCTGTCCGTGAGAACGTGTTGGCCTGTGTGTTAGATAAACTCCTATGGAGGTGGGTTAGAATGAGTCCATCTTCTGTGATTTTTAAAGGTCTTAGACACCAACTAAGAAAGAAAGCTGACTTCTGTTTTCTTCTAGTCATGTTTTTTTAGTTGCTATACAGGGAAATTATTGCTTTCCAATCTTTTCTGCAGTTAACAGAAGTCCTCTTAGGGTCACTGGATATTCTTTGGAACCATATGATGCAACTACATGCCAATCAGAAACAAACATGGATGTGAGGTTTTCTAATATCTACCTGGAATTTAGTCAGAAGAGACTGCAGAAAAGATCAGCAGGTTTTGCTGTAAAACAGATTGATATGTAATTAAAAACCCCTTTAAAGAACAGCGGTGGTTCAATGATGCTATGGGCCTGTCTCTCTCCTAAGGATCCTGTGAAACTTGTTAGCAAACATCACCAAAGCTGAGGTTTTTAGGGATTTTTTTGCAGGATATTGATAAAAAAGACTTACTAGACTTACTATAACTGCTCATCTCCTGGTTTTGTTTTGTTTAAAACATTTTGTCTTAACTTTGTTTTCTTTCATATTCCTCTGATTTAATAAATTCATTTCTTGGGTAAAAATGTGTTAAATGATGCATTTATTTCAGAGGTTTTACACATCTCTCCCAGTGATGCCAGTTACTGCACTGGGCACTGTAGCTGTGTGTTTGTGTGTCCTTGCTTTCTTTTTGCCCAGTTAGATCTAGTTCATGGCTCATCTCCTAATTACAGCACAGGCCAGAAGTAATTACAACCTTAGATTAAGAGTCATTTTTTCCCTTTTTTTATGTAACAAACCAACTGAAATGCAGCAATTTGTGGTGTCTTTCTTTATGAACATCCTTATCCTGCTCCTCGTTTTTTCCTCAGTCCTCAGGAATTTGTTTACTCGTATAGGGGGGGCATTTTTATAGATTTTCCAGCTTAGTTCTGAAGATTCACAATGTAGATAGGAGCTTCAATACAGGTTGGATTTTACAAACTTGTTATAAGGTTGCTTCAACATGCTCGTGTTTGGCAGTGTAGGACAGTATATGTGGAGGGCAGCCGTTATTTGGGGGTTTTGGGCTCAAACCGGGCCACTCTGAAACGCTTTGATCCCTTCATGCGTGTGTATATTTATGCGAGGGTTTTGAAGTGGTTCTTCTGAACGCATCATTTGGCTGCATCGGCGAGCTCTTCTTCAATTTAGCTTGGCAGGCGTACGGGCTAGGGTTTGCCTCCACATACCGCTGGTTCAGCATTGATGTTAAAGGCTGAGGCCTTTGAAGCTTGGGGGTTTTGCTAAAGATGCCTCTTATAAGTTGAAGTTTGACTGTGACAACACCCCTCCTGCTGTGGCACCTCTGAAAGGAGATGAACAATTATATTTCAGGTTTTGACATAACAAGGATTTGTTCTTCTAGAGTTTCCTTCTTGCTAATTGAGAAACTCTTTTTTTCCATGTTTCCACCCTTTTGACTTCCCTCTCTGGGCTTTCAGAGAATGCACCCTGCTCTTCTCCTTTCCCCAGGCCCCCTCGCCTCAGCACCTGACTTTTAACCCTCTAATCCCTCTGATATTGAGGGTCGAAGGCTTTGGGCACTCACTCTAATTGGGGGTAAAACTGAGCCCTGAAACGTCTGGACATTTGGAGAGAGGAGAAAGGCAACAGATACATATTTATCTTGTGAAACAGCATTCATAACTTATAGTTCTCAGACCACTTTAATCTGTATAAAAATACATCTTTTAAACTTGGTGGCAGAATATTTTTTTTGTTAGGAAACTGATGGATTGATCGGATCGATCCTGGAAGCTTTTTTCTTCCCTATTTTCCCAGAAATGGAAAATTGTAAACTTTTCCAGCCTGCACAGGAGCCCTGCTTTTAGTTCACATTTAAAAGCAACAAATGAAACGCTATGATTGTGGTCCACAGCAAATTTAGACATCAGCGCTCTTTCCCTCCAAAGCTCTTTGCCACAGATAAAGAAATGCCAGCCTTGATTTTGTAAAAAAAAGAAAAAAGAAGAAGATTAAAGCTCCCACTGGCACAGTGTTGCCAACTGGACCGAGCGCTGGTGGTGTGGTTTCAACATCCCTGCAACATACTGCATGAAAGGCGGGTCTGTGCTTAATTGTTTAACTCTAAGTTTATGACAGAAACCCTGTCCTCCTCCTGCTGCTTAGCGGCCACACACAGATACGGCTAAAATAACACGTTCGTTGTGCACAAAGCATGCCCTCTCCTTCATGCTCGCACCAACACACAAATGTGGTGTTAATATTTTGACAAAGGAGCATCTAAATGTTGAATTCCTTGCTAAATGGATACAGAAGTAGCTGTTATCTGTTATTTTTCTCTCCCTCTGAGATCTCCATGTCTTTCCACTGATTGATCTGAGTGTCAGCAAACGCAACAGTCTGAGAATACTGACTTCATATAACTGTTCAGGCACACGTCTGTGTTATTTACAGCATCAGAAAGTGCCCAGCAGTGCTCTCCTTTACCATTGTGTCACCATCTGCAGCCTCAAATTTCCACACATTAGTGAGGGGGGTGGGGGGTAATTGGCCTCCTGTGGCTGCTCTGCTATGACTGGTAGCTTAATATATTAACAGATTGCAACCATTACATACTGTCAATGACAGAGGAGCTTATTTTACAACATAATGATGGCCTGCGATGTAGTACTGGGCGATGAAACAAGCAGAGCACCGGTGATGAGTTAATAGGGGGTTATTGGAGTAGTTATGCTGGGGTTTGTTTGCCCCTAGCAGAATGGAGGCGGTTCTCTGTGTCTCAATGTAAAAAAAGAAGAGGTTTGTTCTCCCTAAGATGAAGAAATCAGCCTTCCCTGTTGTTCTTTTGGATGTCATGCTTCCAGCAAGCCAGGTTTGATCAGTGCATCTTTATACTGGCAACATTATACAGAAAAGGAGCAGGAAACACTGTTACATGTATCTTTACTTTCCGTAACAGAGATTTCTTCAAACATGTCGAGTCACGCCGCTTTATTGGATGTTTCTTTAAACCCGGAGAAGGTCACCCAGAGATTTCATCTTTCAGGAATTTGACCCCTTCGCTCGTAGCTCTGCCGCACGCTTGCCATAGGATGCTGACATCTTGTCTTATTTCTGTTTACCTTTTTTCTTGCCTGCTTTCAGCTAAAAGTCAAATGCATCATACTGTTTGGCAGCAAGTTGTGCATACTTGGGGGTTATGAAGTTATTACATAATCGAATCATAGCATTACTGGTAGCAGCAGTTGATGGGACATCTTTAATCTTGCAAATTGGCATAATGCATCCCTTGTAACTAAAACTTGTCTGAAAGGTTTAATTTCTTGCAACACGTGCTTTGAATAGTGTCTATTATTATGCAACAGTCTAATAATACCCTCAAGAGAGGGAAATTGAATCAATGCTATTCTTTGATTTTCATTGCAAAATAAACCTAAGATAGTTGCTAATCAAACTTTGTGGCTACTTGGGGTTCAAAGAAAACGTAGAAGTTGATTTTTATTCAACCTGCTCCTTTTGTTTAAGCCAGTTTATTTATTATAAAATCAAAGTAACAATATGTTGATAGATAAATGACAGAAATGTGGTTACATCTCTGAATCAGTCCTCATTAAATCCTTATAAAAATCTTTTATTTTAGCTCCTGGCTAAACATCTGGTTTTCATGTTAATGATTTTAGTTTCTAATTGTCGTACAAACAGCTTGTTGCAGATTCATGTTTACATTCTGGCTATAGTCAGATTAACTGCAGCATTAAAAATATGAAAAATATTTTCATATTTATTTTAATAACGCTATTACCTAACATTTAAAGTTGTGTAGTTCATTATTGACTTACAGAGCAAAGTGGGATCATAGAGGTTTCCATATAATAAAGGCTTTCTAGAAATGAAATTACACTTAAAACCACAAAATAAACCCAGCCTATGGGCACTTCATCCTTAATGAATAACCTAATATGTTGTTTAGGTAGTTTTGTTTATTGTTGGCTTGCAGGTTAACAGTAGAATCCAAAAGAAGATCAGCAAGAAGCATATAGGGTTTCCGCGGGTCATTAAAAATCATTTAAAGTCATTATTATTGTTTAAATTAAGGCCTTAATTGTCATTAAATGTGTTTATTGTGGCATTCAAAATGCTTTATTTAAAAAAAAAAAGTTTATAAAAACAATTTCTTCAGACATATTATATCACAATATATTTGCATGGAACTGCTTCCGTTTGATCACAAAGCTGTATGTTCAGAAAAGAAGCTTGAATTGGAGAAAAAGCTGGAGTATAGGGGGGAAAAAGCAAATTTCAACAAAAGTGGCTGGAAAATGAGGAATTCAAGACCTGGTTGCAGCCTGTCAATGGATACCTGTTGGTGGCATTAAAATTATTTCTAAGAGCATTAAAAAGCATTAAATTTAAGTTATTCATTCCTGTATAAACCCTGTATAAAAGGGGTCCTGCAGAGTTAGGGTCTCATATAGCCTTTGCTCGCCTCTGCCACTAATAGCTCCACAGCTCCCAACACTTTTGACCCTGCATGTAAATCATGCATTTTGTGCTGTTGAACTTCCCCTGTCAGTGGGACGCTCTCTGCTGCATGCTCCAAAAACAGCTGTCCTCTGCGGTGAGCAGGGCTCGGTGCGGTCCAGACTCTGGGCTCTGTCCCTGCGTGCTGCGCGGCGTCCTGTGGTCCAACGCCAGCCCGCCTCATTACGGCTGCCTCAGCGCACCGGGCACCAACATCACGCTTTTTCTTCTCTCACTGTTTATTGACCTCAGGCATTAGACGCAACCGGATCCCCTACAAACGTATCATCCCTGTAAGATGAGGCGCGCGCCCATGTATTTGCTGAATTTGTGACTTTACGCACGTGCGCTAAACACGGCGCTTTTATCATCACAATAATGCTTGTTTACTCACTTATTTTACCTGCATGGGATCCAAAAATGACAATAACATGACACGCTTAGACGCTTTTGCATTAAAGTGCACAAAATTCTATTGAGCTTTTATATTTAATCTCGGTTTGTTTGTTAAATATACTATTTTACAGACTCCTAAATTACGCGTCTACTGGTCTATTCCCAATATATTTAAAGGCTTGACAATATTATCTATCTATGTTGTGTTATTAGTTGCCGGATGTTCTTACCCGTAACTTTGCCGAGGTGAAGTTGTATGAGCGCCGTTGCGCATGTGTCCGTATCCAAAGTGATTAATTTAACTCCAAACAGGGTAGTTTTCCGGATCAAGATCCAAAAACAAATCTAAAGGTTTAAAAGTTTTTTCTTTCCTCTCTATGGGTGATTTTTAACTAAAGCAAAGAGCTCATCAAACGGTCAGAGAGAGAGAGGTATACCAGCCTCCACGTCAAGGAATGCGCTCAAGTGCCGACTCCCCTGGACAAAAAGAGCTTTATTGGAGAGAGTTGGAGCGGAGGGATGGGAGGGGCAAGGCAAGGCAAGGCGCACTCCTGCGCTGACTGAAAGCCAACAAACAACTCACCTTGCAGAAATTCCAGCCTGGTGTTAAATCCTACCCTGCAGGACCTGTTCCTCGCAAGAAACGTTACAGCTTTCAGTATCATCTGATCCAGAGTTGGTTCATTTTTAGGAGAAATGCAGAGCATCTAAAGTTATCTTCATTGTCTGTATGTTTATCTCTTCTGTTCACTTACATCCATTTACACCACTATACATGGAAATAAATAATGCAACAATTTTTGGCATTTACTTAATCATATTTAGTTACTTAAACACAATTTTTTCATATTAACAGAGGTGTCAACACTGAAAAAAATAATGCAACTGCTTTTGGGATTTACTTAATCATATCTGGGGAGTGGCGGCCTAGTGGTTAGGGCATAGGGCTTTATCCTGAGGTTGTGAGTTTGATCTCCCTCTCCCACAGACTCCCACTTTGGGTCCCTGAGCAAGACCCTTAACCCCACACTGCTCCCCGGGCACCGCACGATGGCAGCCCACTGCTTCCCAAGGGGATGGGTTAAATGCAGAGAATTAATTTCGTTGCTCTGTACTTGTGACAGTGGAATGACAATAAAGTTGAATTCTATTCTATTAATTTACTTTAACACAATTGTTTCACGTTAGCAGGGTAGGATGTGAAACAATTGTGTTAAAGTAACTAAATATGATTGAGTAAATGGGAAAAGCGGTTGCATTATTTTTTTCAGTGAAATACTTCGTTTTTAGGTATCTATACTTTACTCCATTGCTTATTTTTCTTCCTACTTATTACATTTTCACACATGTATCTGTACTTTCTATTCCTTACTTTTTTTAAAACAAACGTTACTTGTGGCTTCGAGTAACGTTGGCTTCGGTTTAATGTTCATAGATATTTATTTCCCGTCATGTGCGCCATCCAATGCAGATCATTGGCGCCATCCTCACCTAGTGAAAATTAGTGTAATTGGATGAGTCATATAACGCAAACACTCATTGGTTAGTTAAAGGAAATCATCAGAAGCAAGCAGGTGTTCTTCAAATTGCAAACGTGAATTGTCTATGCCATGCTACCATGTGGGATTCAGAAAAAGATGTTGAAATGTCTGAAAGGTCTGACACAGGCGACAGCGTATCGGGAGATGGAGACGGAGACCAACAAGACCTCCCTCATCCTTGGCCCTATGTCAAAGAATTTTTTTGAGCTTTTTTTAGCTTCCAACTCATATAGTGGCATCTGGCTGTTTTTTTTTTTTAAGTTTACTTTATACTTTTATACTTTAAGTAGTTTTTGGAGCACATACTTTTTCACTTTTACTTGAGTAAAGAGGTCAAGTTGATACTTCAACTTTTACCAGAGTGTTTTTAAACTGCAGCATCTATACTTCTACTTAAGTAACAAATGTGTGTACTTCTGACACCACTGCATATTAGCAGGGTAGGACAGAAAACAATTGTGTTAGAGTAACTAAATATGATTAAGTAAATTCCAAAAACAGTTGCATGATATTTTTCAGTGTAGAAAATATCCATACATAAAGAGCAGGTGTCTTAGTGGGTTTTTAGACCAACATAAAATAGCCATGGACGTTCTAGACAGGGGCCAACCGGGTGCAGTGTTCCTGTAGAACTGGTCCTGGCTCCTGTTATGGCCCCTCTACTGAATAAACAAAACTAAATCTGTTTTTATGAGGATATGTGTTGGCACACATACTGTAACTGATTAGTCATTGTTTTTTTTTTTTTTGTTTTTTTTTACTTACAGGTTTACTTTAACAAACATCAAGGTGTTGGTTTCTTTTTTGTTTTTTTTGTTTTTTTTGTGATGTTGTTTCTTTTCCCCTCTACGCCCCCATGAAAAAACAGTTAATCTGATAATCGCTCTAGAGCCGCCATTGAATGTCCCATTTAAATGGGATTTTTTTTTTTTTTTTTGTGTATGTTTTAAAAGTGTGCTGCTTATTTGTGTTAGCCGCCCCTTTATTCAAACACCCCTAACTAAATTCTTGAGTAAAGTATGATCTTCAGAAGTTGATCAATAAGTAAATAAGATCCACCTCTGTATACATTGAAAGAAAACCCTAAAACACAGCAGACTGCAGACACTAGGGTTAAACATTTTGGTTTACAAGCATACCTTGGATGGAAAATGAAAACTGAACCATTCAGAACACACCATCCCCATGGAAAAACATGGTAGTGGTCCCGTCATGATGGGGGCAGTGATATGAATACTAATTAGATTCGATGGAAATGTGCATGGAGTTGCAATAAATTCAGTTCTATTCAGCTTATTTATATTTATATAACACCGACACATGTCATCTCAAGGCACTTTACAGAGACAATTCAGGCAGATCATACAGTCAAATTGATTCATAGTTTTATATTTAAGAAATACCAGTTGATTGCATCGACTCATTGACTCAAAGGCAAATCCCTCACACTAGGCATGCTTGTAGCGACAGTGGAGAGGAAAAACTCCCTTTTAACAGGAAGAAACCTCCAGCAGAACCAGGCTCAGTGTGATTGGCCATCTCCTGAGGCCAAAAATGAAACATGGCAAACTCAGAAAAAATTCTTTACATAGCTTCTTATCTTTCCCCATCATCTCCAGTCATCGCCCTTGTTTTCTCCATGTGGATTATATGTACTGAATAATGTGCTTTACTAGCTTTTTTGTCTCACAGAGCAATGCACATGGAGGCCAAACCTTCCAACTAGCTTTGCTGCATCCCATATAAGGCTTTAGTCAATTTTTAACTGGACTATTTTTTAAATATATTCAAGTACTTTGGAGGAGCTCCTACTCAGCTCCACTGTGTACATGCATTGCACATATGTTTGCTCCATCTTCGAACTTCGACAGCTATCAAATACTTTGTAACACCAGTTGCAAACCACCCATTGGCAGCTGGCAGCTACTTCAATGTCAGCTGGTCCCAGCAAGGTACAGAAAGATGATAGCTCCCAAGAACTTTGACACTTCCAGTGTGTACATTTAGCCACACGACACTAAACTACACAGTGTCCTGCAGCCACTTCTGCCTAATATTTGTCTTAGTTTGCCTGTTGCATTCCTGCAGACCTGCATGTTCCCCTCATGTTGGCATGAAATTTTAAAAACTATCTTAAACCACGGCCAATTTCTCACTCTAGTAATGTCTCAGGCTCTCGTGGCCGAAGGTGTAGAAACTCCCAACAAGAAAATGATTCATTACGCAGCCCTGTGTCTGACCCTCAGGCGGGTCGCATGTGTCTCCTGAAACCAACCCCCCACCCCCAGGATCCTCCGGACAAGGGGTGCTTTAGTTCTACTTGTGGAGCCATGCTAACTGTGTAATTTCTACCATTTGTTGTTTCATGCTGGTCTCCACACAGAGTCATGAATTTTCTCTTGGTTACTCTCCTCCTTGCTCCTATTAGGAGTTATTATCAGTGCTGGTATACATGCCATACCATCTGCAAGGTATTACAGTCAGTTGCAGGAATAGAGAAATGATTTAACACCCTTCCCACAAGGTCCAGATGGAGCTAAAAGCCTTCTCCTCATCCCAGATGATGGGTTTTACATATTTAGGAATATTTATTTAGAAGAAAAACGCTTTCTGTACTTTATCACCTATATTCAGTTTAAAATGTTTGATCATTGCATGCACAGGGCTTAATTGGCGCTGTAGTTATTTCCTAGCTGCAGCAGCAGAGCTGAAGTTATCCAGGTGCAATGCTAAGGAATAGTCAATGGTTCAGGTTTTTTATGGTATGTCTGGGGTTTGTGAAGTACGTCTAGGAGGACAATCCTCCTAGAGTACCACAAAATAAAACTATTAACAAAACAACTAAAACAAAATAATGCAAAAAAAGAAATGGTTGATGTTAAGTGTATAGTTGATTGGAAATGTTGAAGACATCTGACAAGACACAAATGTCCATTTCTGTTACTCTTTCTTCAGATTAGAAGAGAACAGAGAACAGGTGATTCCTGTGATCTCTGTCTATTCTTTGATCTTTTGATTCTGTTTTATGTCTTTTATTTTACATTTATCTACATAGATGCATTTTATCAAGACATTTTCAAGAATTTTTTCAGTGAATAGACAGCTAATGTTTGTTTGATGCACATCAGGGGACTCTATTCATTAATTTTAAGAAAAGTTTATTTTACTGGAATTTACTGGAGGTACCAGAGTATAGGGGAACGAGTGAGAGACAAACTTCTCAGATCCGTTTTTTTCTTAAAGAAAAAAAAACAACATCTGCAGTATTTTTCAGTTTATTATTCTGGTATCGTAAATTAGGCTTAGCAAATGCAAAAAAAATGGATGCTTTTTAAAACTACTCTTGTTTGCTATACAAAACTAACTTATCTTTAAGCAGAATTTAAAAAACCTTATCTGTTTTCTACTATGCTGCAAATAAAATACAATATATATTTATATATTTAATAATGATTTCAGGTCTGTTGACATGATGCTCTATTTCTTCTGTTTTGTAAATTACTTCATACTTTTTATGAAACGTTTCCATTTTCACAACTTCTCCTTGGCTCCACTTCTGGCAGCAATGAAAAAAGTTATTTATTAAAAAAAAAAATGAAAGGGAAACATTTTATTTTAATGACCTGAAATGTTCCTGTTAAACTGCAACAAGGGGTATTATACAAATTAAGGATTTAATTAAACGATTAAATAATACCTTACTCTAAATCTTGTAGCATATTTTTATATGAACTGTTTGTGTGATCAGCTTCTTGTGTCGCTGCTTTAGTGAAAAGAAAACATGCATTTAGTCCAAACTGTAAATCACAGTCCAGTGCCTGCAGTGCCGTCACCACATCGGGCTCCTAATCACCGTGGTTCAGTAAAAGATGGTGAGGCAGCTTTTAGCTCTGCCCAGGGGAACCTATAAAACGCTCGTGAAGCTTGGAGCCAGCTCCTG